CCCGCAACCCCAAGGTCCACAGCCGCGCCCCTGCGCTGCCCGCTGCGGGGGTCACGGGGACCGCACAGCCACTGAGGGGGAGCGCCCGTCCCCGGGCTCACGGGGCCTTCTCCATGCAGTCCTGGCCTCTGACCCCGTCTCCTTTGCTTTGCTTCGCTTCGCTTCGCTTCAGAAATTGAAACTTAAAATGCTTTGTTTCCTCACTGTTCATATAGTGTTTCTGGAGATCGTTCTGAGGAAAACAGATTCCTTAAGGAGATTTACTTTCTTGGTAGGTGCAGGGTGTGGCCCTCCGTGCCTCAATTTTTGGAATATGCAGAGATTTTCTTGAAAGAGACATCCAAAAGAAAATGTGATGTTTTCCTGTCCGTAAAACATGCATGAATCAAAACAAACAAACACTATATCTGCAAATCACCATTTTATTAATCATCATCTCCTTTTCCCCTTCCTTCGCCTAATTTCATTTCTTTTTGCTGCCAGGCATGCATATGGGAAGATTCGCTTCTGTCAGGCCAGGCACCACCACAGTGATACGAATATGTTAGGGAAATAGGTGGTAAATGAGTGGAGGTGATTTGTATTGTTTTTTTCATTCGCTGCTATAACAAATCACCTCGGATTTAGTGGCTTAAAAACCGCGTTTATTATCTTAAAATTCTGTGGGTTAGAAGGCCAAATTGGGTGGGTAGGTGGGGGGTCACTGGGCTAAAATCATGGTGTCTGCAGGGCTGCCTTCCTTTCTGGAGGCTAATGGGGTGGGTGAGTCTGTTTCCTTGTCTTTTCCAGCTTCTCTAGGCTGCTCAACTCCTTCGGCTCAGTGGTGCCCTTTCTCCATCTTCAACGCCGGCGTGGGTTGCATCTGACTATTCTTCCGTTGTTACATCTCACTCTGATTCTGCTCTTCTGCCTTACTTTTTGACTTTGAAGAGGACCCTGGTGATTACACTGGTCCCCACCAATAATCCAGGAAGAGCTTCATATTTTAAAGTCAGCTGAACAGCAAGCGTAAGTCAGTCTACAGCGTTATATCTGCTTTGCAATGTAGCTAACATATTTGCAGATTCTGGAGGTTAGAAAGTGGACATCTTTAAGGAGGCCATTCTGTCTGCAGATGATTGCATGAAAGAAAAGCCATTATTGTACATCTCATTCATGCAAAGAGGGAAAGTATTCAGATACTAGATATTCTGTAAGAAGTTCTGGGGATATTACTTAGTAGACCATTTATATGAGTTAAATATACTACTGACAGCCTTTATTATAAGCTCTTAAGAATATAGACTTAAAAAAAACAGTTAAATAATGTAGCAGTTTCTGCTTTCTGGAAATGTAATAAGAGAACTTCATATGCCTGGGATGTCCTGAGCAGAACAAATACCTGAGTCAAGATACCACACGATTCTATAAATATTGAGTGTTTTCAGTATGCGAACTTGTGCTCTGAATGAATACAAAGAGGAGTGGACATGGTCCCTGGCCTCAAGGTCATGACCATCTAGTAACAGAAAATGATACAGCTAGACAAATAATTAAATCTCCTCAGAAGAGATGATAAGAGGAGAAGTAGCATCATTTGGGGGAAATCAGAAAAGGCTTCAAGAATCTGGGGGACAGATTTTGGAATGGATGCTGAACAGTAGGACTTCATTAGGTGGAAATTAAGGTTGGGAGGGGAACAAGGATGTGACACTGAGGGACAGGAGGGAGAAGAGAAACCCTTAGAGTGTTCGATGTGGTCAAGGGACTTAGTTCAGAAGTTGTCTAAATAAGACTAGAAAGTAAGTTGGGGTTAGATTGTGTAAGACCTTGGGTGAATGTCGTTATAATGATTCTGCAATTGTTGATGCAGTGGAGAGCTACTACTATGTATCTTTTTTATTTTTAAACCCTCTCAAACTTATAGAAAATTTGCAAGTAACAACTTTTCTGTTTCTTGAGTTATTTGAGAGTAGGTCTCCAACTTTGTGACCCATTACTCTGGAATTCTTGAGTGTATATTTCCTACAAAAAAGGTATCCTCTACATAACTACAATACAGTGACCAAATCAGGACGTTAATACTGTTACATTACTGCCATCTAATCCTTAGATCCAATTCAGATTTTGCCAGTTGTCCCAATAATATCCTGTATAACAAAAGGACCCAGTTCAGAATCATGCATTGCATTTAGTTGTAATGTCTTAGTATCCTGTCTGGAACAGTTTCTCAGTCTTTGCTTGGCTTTCATGAACTTGGCACTTTTGAAGAGAACAGACCAGTTGTCTCCTATTTCCTCATGTTTAGATTTAGCTTATGCATCTTTGGCAGGAATATCATAGAAGTCATGCTGTGTTCTCAGTGTACTTATCATACATCAGATGATTTTGATGTATCCCATTATTTACCCTGATTACTTCATTATGGTGGTGTCTGCCGGGTTTCTTCACCGTAAAGTTACTGTTTTCCCCTTTAAAATTAACAAGTGTTTTGTAGGGAAGTATTTCTTCTGTCTGTTTATGTTTTGTTTTGGAAAGCTTTATTCATAGTAGCCCCAAATTGTAAACAACCAAATATCCATCAACAAGAGAATGGAAAAGCAAATTGTGGACTACGTATGTGTGGAATACTACACAGCAAAAAAAAGGAACAAACTACTCATATATGCAATAACATGGACAAATCTCCAAAACATGTTGAGTTTAAAACTCTAGCACATACAAAAGGATACATACTAAATCATTCTACTTATATGAAGTTCAAGAACAGGTTGTTCAGTGTAAGGAAACTTTACCTCAATTAAAAAAAATCATTTCTTGAGGACAAACTATGCTCCTGGTACCCTTTTGGATACTGTTCTGGTAGCATTCCAGGGGAACTAGGGCATACTCTAGACAACAAAACAAAAACCACAGCCCTTGTGGTGCTTATATTCTTGTAGGTCAGCTTGATGTGTTTAGTGCAAAAGGGCAAGCTGATATTTATCCCCATTAAAGTTGTTGATCTCCTTCAAGGATTTTATGGACTGGTGAGTCCATAAAACATGTAACCAAGTGATTGGGGTTGCATTGGAATTTGGTTAGCAGTACTTGTGGGTAATTATTTTGAAACACCTAAATAGTCCTTTCCTCACCAAAATTTCAATCAGTCAATCTCTCTATCTCTCTCTCTGTCTATCTGTCTGTCTGTCTATCTATCTATCTATCTGTCTATCTCATCTTACTACATAGTAATCTAGTATGGACTCAATAGTTCTCTGTTTTACTCAGTGGATTTAATTATTGCTGTCATTATTTATTTTGATGATTAATTTATTCCCAGGTTTGGCCAGCAAGAAGCAGCTCAGGTTGGACTCTGTGGTCTTCTGACATATCCTTATCATTTTTTTTTTTAGCACTTCTTGCTTTCTGGTGCCATAAGATGCTTATGTCGCATTTGTCCTGTCCCAGTCTTAGGATCAGCCATTTCTCTGAATAGCCTTGGTTCCTGGTAGCTGAGAAACCAAATTCTGGGTGCTAGATGTGCTCATTGCTATTGTCTTTGCTTCCAGGCCCTTTCAGCAGACAGAGCTGGGGAATATATCTCGCACACATACACACACACTTAAATCTATATTTAGATTTCTGAATCTTTTTATCAATCTATCAGAAATCATGAGATTATACAGATATCTCCAGTTCCAATTCATAGCATTCATTCTGTTTTTCTCCCTTTCCATATTTACAGTCACCTTCTCTGACAGTGAAAACCAGATTCCTATTGTCTCCCTATATTTACTTACTTGATAAATCAATCCCCCTTATGTGCCTTTGGCCCCTGGGAGCTTCAGTCTCATCTTATGTATTTCCTGCCCCAAAGGTAGAAGCAGCCATTGCTCAAAGGAGCCCTGGTTCCTTTTATTGGAGAATAGATCAGAAACTAAGATGTGTGTTCTACATCACCCCCTCTTTTCTCCAGTTTTATTGAGAAATGATTGACATATATCACTGTATAAGTTTATAGCACAATGGTTTGACTCATGTATATTACAAAATGATTACCAGAATAAGTTCAGCTAACATCTATCTTGTCATATAGACACAATAAAAGAAATGAAAGAAAAAAGGGGGAAAATTTCTCTTTATGATTAGAACTCTTAGGATTTACTCTCTTAACTTTCCTGTGTATCATGTGGCAGCTTTAGCTATAGTCATCATGTTGTACATTACATCCCTGCTACTTCTTTATCTTACAACTGGAAGTTTGTACCTTTTGACCACCTTCCTCCTATTCCCATTCCCCCTGACCCTCTGCCTCCAATAACTACAAATCTGAGCCTTTTTTCTATGAGTTTTGTTGTTTTGTTTTTTTGATTCTCCATATAAGTGAGATCATACAATATTTGTCTTTTTCTGTCTGACTTATTTTACTTAGTGTAATGCCTTCAAGGTCCATTCATGTTGCTGCAAATGGTAGAATCTCCTTGTTTTTTATGGCTGAATAATATCACTGTGTGTGTGTATATGTGTGTGTATACACACACACATACACACACACACACACACACACACATATATATATATATGCCACAACTTCTCTATCTATTCATTCATCCATTGTTGGACATTTAGGTTATTTCCATGCGTTGGCTATTGTAAATAATGCTGCAGTGAACAGGAGGTACAGATGTCTTTTCAAGTTAGTTTTTTTTTCCCTTTGAATGTATTCCTAGAGGTGAAATTGCTGGATCATACCAAACTAAAGAGCTTCTGTGTAGCAAAAGACACCATAAACTTTTGTGAAAAGACAACCTATGGAATGGCAAAAAATATTTTGAAACCATATATCTGATAAGGGGTTAATATCCAAAATATATAAAGAACTCAGACAACTCAATAACCAAAAAATGAAATAACTCAATTGAAAAATGGGCAAAGGACCTGAATAGACATTTCTCCAAAAAAGATACATGAAAGGCCAACAGGCATATGAAAAGATGCTCAACATCACTAGTCATTAGTGAAATGCAAATTAAAACCCCATGAGCTACCACCTCACATCTGTTAGAATACCCATCATCAAAAAGACAAGTGGATAACAAATCCTGGCTGGCATGGATGTGGAGAAAAGGGAATCCTTGTACACTGTTGGTGGGAATGTAAATTAGTGCAGCCACTATGGAAAACAGTATGGAGGGTTTTCGAAAAATAAAAAGTAGAACTACCATAAGACCCCTTTTTTTTGACACTGCTTGTGTTCACACGGAGTAAACTAAGACATGACTAATTTTTTGCTAGTCTACTATTTTATTTTTAAAGAGGAATATGTGTCTTTCCTGTTTCTTTTGTAGGAATAGTGAGAATTTAGTCACTTGAAATCTTGGAAGATTGTGTTAATAGATACATTTTTAATGAGCTTTTAAAACAATAAAAACCGGTGTGATATTCCTTGTCTCATATTTGATCTCGGTCCTCTTCATTTCAGCAAATTCATATGCAGGCAAGGGTTCTTAACTTTTTTGGTCCCAGTCTGATAAAGCCTGCGGACCTTTCTCAAAGAAAGAAGTTCTTAAATTGTATAAAACAAAATACATAGAACAATAAGGGAAACCAATTATACTGAAATATGATTATCAGATTTTTTAAAAGCCAATTTTAATATAGTAATATATATTAATATACTACAGTTTATTACAAGACCTGTGTTTAATGACTGTCATAATTTTGAAGCAAGATTAAGCACAAACAATGATTCAGGATATCTGGAACAGTTAAAATATTTTATGAAAATAACTGTGCCATCTCAGTGACTTTTGTCACACATACAGCAAGTACTATGTGGCTTGTCACCTATATTCATATTTGAAGGGAATGCTAAGCTTCAGTCAGAGGTTATTAGAAATAAAGATGTAATTTTTTTCCTGTCCAAGTGTATGGACTCAGGGGAAGGATTTGTGAAAACTCCAGGTAAGAACCCCTGTATGTATAGAGGAAGGGTGTTGGGAGGTCTTTTTACCCCATTTATATTTGAGGGGTATAATAGGGAGAATTAAATATTTAAATAAAAACCTTTGAAGAAGTCTGGAAGATCAAAATAATAGTCTTTTAAAATGGAGCATTATGTGAACTACGAAGGAATGTTTTTTAAATTAATTAACTAATTGATTATTGAAGTATAGTCAATTACAATGTGTCAATTTCTGATATACAGCACAGTGTCCCAGTCTTGCATATACATACATATATTCGTTTTCATATTACAAAGGAATGTTAATACTCATATTTTCTACTATGGTGTTGAAAAGCAAAGGATTTTTAGAACTCCTTAATATATTTATAGATGTGAAAGTTATTTGAAATATATAGACTTTGTATATAAGTAACATGATAATAAAGACTTGTTGATAGGAAAAAAAGATACAGCAAAGAAGAGATGTTTCATCTGTAAAAGGATAAAAGTTATTTTTTCTTGAGCTTATGTGTATATACTATTCTAAAGTATTTATTTTTTTACAATAATTAGGAAATCATGGCAGCCAATGAAGATAACAAAAAACAAGCTCTTAAGGAGTGTTGTCTAGATGAAGAATTTATGCAAGATGAACAAAACCAGGTAAAAAGGAACAATTACTGAGTACTATTAAGAATTAACTTATATCTATTAGTTTTGCAGTGAGGCATGTTTTATATGTCTTTGTCCAACATTAACTTGAATTTGGGAGAGTAGTGGGGTTTTCAAGTTTTTTTTTACTTCCATCATTCAAGACTTACAAGAAGAATAGTATTTCTATTCCTTCTCTTACATGGCTTACAACATTACCTGCTTTTTCACTTCCTCTCTCATTTCTCTGATTTGCCCCTAGAAGTTAAGATCTTAGTTAGCAATTATCTGATGAGACCCAAGAGGGAATGGTGGCTCAGGTAGCTTAAACCACTTACCCAAGGCCATGTCTGGCATGTTAAGGCAGCTGTACTGTGGGAATCACAGCAAAAAAAAAATTTAATTGCCCCAGAGTAACATATGTCCACAATTACAGTGCAATTTAAAAGTCATATTGGAGTCACAAATAGCTAGGAAGAGAGTTGATAGAGTGTTGAACTATCAGAAGATCTGGGTCTTAATCCTGGCTCTACTACAGATATTTCTGTGACTTTGGTCTAGTGTGAAAGGGGGTTTCCTGTTTGCATAATGGAGATAATAATCCTTGGCAGTGGTAGGGATCTTGACAGGTGATGACGTAAAACATTCAACAAATGTAGTATTCACATAATCATATTTATTCTGAGACTGTCTAATGTCTTATTTTGCCTTCTTCAGAGTGAGAGAAATTTTGCTTCTTTAATTCATTTAGAAAAATGAGGTCGGGGCTGTTTAAATTTTAGGTGCTTTTTCTTTTTCTTTTTTTTTTTTAAAGAAATTAATTGATGAAATTGCCAAGGAAAATATTCTATTAACGAAGGAGATCCAAAAACTTGAAGCTGAATTACAAGAGGCCACCAGAAATTCCCAGGTACCCCTTTAATTATTTTATGTATTGCATTTTTAACAGACCCTATTTTTCAGAAAAAGCAATTTAATTATACAGAATTCATTTCTAAAATATTATGATCATCCATGACACCATGGTTTGCAATAGCCCCAAACTGAAAACAGCCCAACTATCGCTCCATAGTAGAATAAATTAATAAATTTGGGTGTATTCACACAATGAGAATGAACAGCTTGCAACTACATGCAGTAACAGGATGACTTTCCTCAACACTGTGAATAAAAACAGCGGTGAATTTGAAAAGATAACAGAGGGCCTGCCGTATGCTTTCGTTTAAATATAGTACAAAAGCAGAATATTATAAATTGGTATGGTGGTTACTCTTAGAGGCAGTTAGGATCTGGAAGGGACCACAAGAGGGCTTCTGGGGTGTTGGTCTTGTTCTGATTATTGATCTGGGTGGTGGTCATAGATGTGTGATCACCTTGTGAAATTTCATCTTGCTGTATGTTTATGCTAATACACTTTATAATATTTATGTAT